CAATCCCTTTTATGCAAATAATGTTTCAAAGAAGCAGCGGGGATCCATAATAGGGGGAGAATAACATCCATTTAGAAGGATTAAATGCCAGGTGAAATGTACAACATTTTCAGAGACAAAAGCTTCTGGAAACTGAACAGAATCCGTAGTTTTGAAAGGATTTCACTGGCAAACAGACGCAGCATGTGCCATGAAGTTTGGGGATTTACCATTCTTTTTGCCCTTCATCCCAATCAAAAACAAAGAATTGAAGCGAAACAACAGCAGCAACGTAAAACAGAGTTCCCTACGTTGTAAAAGCATCATGGCAGACTTGGTTTGGGCAGATGGGAATGTACTGTACAAAAATGAGACAGGGTCTTGTATTCATTTTTTGCTCCAAAAATGTACTAGGGCTTATTTTCAGGAGATGTTTTATTTTTTTTCATGTACAACCATCTCCATGTATTCAAAGACAGTCGTGTCATCTTCTTCTGCTTGCTGCACAAGGGTGGAGGGCAGGGTTTCACTTAACTGGGACTTATTTGGGGGGTAGGGTTTGTTTGTATGAGGAGCATCCTGAAAAACCCTACTAGGGCTTATTTTAGGTTAGGTTTTATTATTGGGTATGTACACTTAGGCTAGTATCGTGTTCACAAATGTGGATTATCAAGGCTTCCACCCACAATACTTTGCTTTCTCCGTAGCAAAATCCCATTTGTGCCTCTAGAATTCAAATATCGCCCCATGGCAAGACAATGGAGTTTTACACTTGTGTAGGTGGGTGAAGGAACTCTCCCCTTTTTCATGAACAGCATTAAAGGGGGAACCATGTGTGTGATTTATCTCAGACAAGATTCTTGCCACAATTATTTAATACATCGAATTTGGATGGAATTAATGTTATTTTTCACTGTGCTGTGTGCTGGAGTGAATATTGAGAACAGGCTCTACTTGAAAAGGAGCCACTGAAAAAAATTACTCCTGCCAATGAAAGTACTGCAGAATATTACTTTTATTTCTGTGTATTCTTAATTTCTCTACCTTTCCGGGGGGAGGAGGAAAAATATCATGTTTCTTTCAAAGCAAGTCTTCCTTTGAATGAATTCAGTTTTGTTTTTCAATGTCCCGTTTCTTCTCATTCAGAATTTTATCCGAAGATATCATTCTGGATTGAAATAATCTTTGGCTGGTAGGCTGAAAAATATTTTTTAGGCATCAAAAGTCATGATGATGCAACTTTAGTTAAAAATAAAAAGAGAAGGCAGTCAGCATAAGCACCTAGGTTTCAAATTATTACCATAAAATCAGAATATTAACAGCACAAAATCTTTAAATTCCTTAACTCTTTAATTTTAATTTTATAGAAACGTTTACTAGATTTCAGAGTCTATAATTTTGTAACCAAATGCCTTTTTTATATGCAAGTTTCATAGCAACTTTAGTTAAAAATAAAAAGAGAAGGCAGTCAGCATAAGCACCTAGGTTTCAAATTATTACCATAAAATCAGAATATTAACAGCACAAAATCTTTAAATTCCTTAACTCTTTAATTTTAATTTTATAGAAACGTTTACTAGATTTCAGAGTCTATAATTTTGTAACCAAATGCCTTTTTTATATGCAAGTTTCATATTTTATTTATTTATTT